TGCCTGCCCACCGCTCTGATTGCAACATGCTTCGACTCTTTAAATTGTTTCGGGGGTTGCCTTCGAGGTGGTTTGGGGCTCCGAGGCAGTGAGGCAGTGCCGGCGTGCGTGGGGGTTTCAGGCTGTCCTCTTCCCTGGCCCCTTGCGTCCTTCTCCCAGGTTAGAACCTTCGTCGCAGCTGCCCCGGAGTGTGTTTTTGGCCGTGGTCTCCACTAGGAGTGCAGGTAGAGTACAATGACAAGTGCAGGTCGTTTGCCATGGTTTCAATGCTGGGGTTCTTCCGGTTCCGGGTTCTTGGGTTCTGGTGGCCTCCTGGTTCTTGGGGTTTTAGGCTAACCAACGGCCCAGTTCGCATCTTCGGCTTCCCTAGCTGTGTCCGTGGCCTTTGCCGATGCCATCGCCTCAGTAAGTGCGACGGCTTCCAGTGCTGTGCAGGATCAGTTGATTGTTCTGTGCATGTGGCCCTGGCAAGCTTGCTTGATTTGAAGTCACACGATGTCGCATGTTACACTTAGTCTAAGTTCGTGTGCATGCACGCAGCTCCCACAGGCCCAAGCAGTCGTGCCTTTCCTTAGTTCCGCCCTCCCCGGCCCGCGCACGGAATAATTGGCAGCTGCACCTGATAAAGTGCACTAGAACCCCGCTGGCATAGGGATAGTTCTCGAAATTAGAGTCCCGTTTCAGAACTTTTTGAGTGTTCGAGTGCATCGTTCAGCCATGGTATCCCGTAGCGTTGAGGAGATGGACTGGGTGGACTGGACTTTCTTAGCCAAGAAGCAAGGAATTATCGAACGCACGAGTCTGGAGCAAAAGTTTTTCGAGCTTCTGGCAAGTGTGGAGAAACTCGATCTTAAGCTCCTTGACATGTCGATGGAGGAAATCAGTTGGCTAAGCAAGGCGGAGAAGTCCGCGCTGCACGATGACTTCCACAAAAACGTCCCGTCACGGGCACAAGTGGGGAAAAAACTCAGTGCCTCGGTTCTGCTGCTTTGTGCCCCCATGTACGTTTTGCGCCATGATTCCTCCAACAAGACTACCCTGAGCGAACGCATCGAGCAGTGTGTTGCCTGCTACTATGATGCAAAGCCCAGCGATGTGCGAAGAGCCATGGCGAGAACATTGGCGGATGTGCTGCAGGCCTTTCAAGAGTTGGATGTTGCATCTCAGCAAGAGATTTATTACATGCCGCTCGACAAAATGACGCTGAAAAGTCTGTGGGAGGTGAGCAGCAACACCATCCAAGAGGCAGAGGCAGATTCGGAGAGCCAGGAAGACGAGGAGTAGAAGATTGGTGTACAGACTGCTTAAGTCTCCGCTTAAAGCGGATGGCTCCCGGAATCCTTGGATGTGCTTCTTTTATCGGAATGGAGATCTCCTGAAATCATCGGAATCGAACCTCGACTTAATAAAATAAGTACCTACGAGGTTGCAACCGCCTGTTTGATCTGCCTTTTGGAGCAAAACATGTGGTGCTCTGTGCTTTTGCTTAAGCTTCTTGGGTTCCTTAATGTTTCTGTGGTGGCTAGCTTCTGTTTTTTTTGCTCCAGGGTTCCTGAAGTGCTAGCCAGGGGGCCTAGGGTCTAGTAGGGTTTACCCCTAAATCCCTAAACCCTAGAACCTAAACCCCGAAATTTAGGGTAAAGGTTCGGGGCAGGCATAAAGTTCAGGGTGTAGGGTCACCAGAGTTTATAGGGAAGCGTCCGAGTCATGGACATATTTATCCTGCCCTCCCAGGTCAGAAGCTTGGCTATTGTCGCAGCTGCCCCAGAATGTTTTTTTGGCCGTGGTCTCCACAAGGAGTTCAGGTAGAGTGCAAGTGCAGGTCGTTTGCCGGTGTTTGAATGCTGGGGGTCTTCGGGTTCCATTGAAATAGCTTGCAGCCTAATAAAAATCAGAAATATTCAAACAGCAGCCGAGGCCACTCAAAATGGGAATTTATCCAGAAGAAAAGTCATCCCGATACTATCCGGACAGAAAATCTTAGTGTTATGAGCTTGCGGCTTATTAACTAAAAGTCATAATATTAAAACCGCAGCTGAAGCCACTCCAAATGACAATTTCACCAGAAGACAAGTCCTTCCGAGACTGTCCGGACAGGAGCTCTAATACTTATTTCGGACTCCAAGGCTTAGGGCGCGGTCTCGAGTAGCTTTCCTCTTCTGTCCGTTCGTGAGCCATGGGATCAGTTCTTTGCAGCCGTCGCAACAACGACAGTCTTGTGTGCCATGAGCGGTGTGTGGCCCATGGTCAAAGCTGCTGTCGCGCAAGACCGAATCACCTGCACCACAAGTGCAGCACATGCATCATTCAGTGGTACAACCAGCGAGATTATCAAGCCGGCTCCAGATACATTCATTATGGAGCAGATGATGGCAACGATTGGCATCGAGAGGATCGGCATCGAGAATGGCCAAAGGATGAGTGAAGATGTCGAGACTTGATGCATGCGTTTGAGAATCAAGTTTGTGCGGCCTGTCAGTGATTTAAATCAAATTTAACAATCAGCTTAATTAGATTTCTATTAGTAGTAGCTAGCAGCTTTAATGCAAATCAGAATAATCAAATGGCAGCCTCAGGCTCTGGAGATGACAAGTTTAGTGGAAGAAAAGTCATTCCGAGACTGCCTGGACACAAACTGTATCAGTTTCGATTTCTACGGTTTGAAAGCTAGCGTTTTGTGCTTGACTTTAATTCAATAGTTTCGGCATATAAAAGTCAAAGCGGTTTTTGGATTTTAAGCGTACTAAAATAACAACATAATTTAATGAAATTCCTAATATTAAATAGTAGCTTGCAGCCCAATTTAAATCATAACATTCAAATAGCAGCTGAAAGCCACTCGAAATGACAGTTTCCACGCCAAAAAAGTCATTCCGAGACTGTTTCGGGCTCCAAGGATCTGAAAAGGATCGAATCGCTGGACATCCAGTCTGGAATCAAAAGCCTTTTCGGGCCTTTGCACTCTTTGAGCTTTTCGTGCCCTCTCCAGGATCATAGATCCCCTTCAGTCTAGCAGCTTTTAATGAAAATCATAATATTCAAATAGCAGCTGAAAGCCACTCGAAATGACAATTTCCACGCCAAAAAAATCATTCCGAGACTGTTTCGGGCTCCAAGGATCTGAAAAAGACTGAATCCCTGGACATCCACTTTGGAATGAAGAGCCCTGTCGGGCCCTTGCACTTGAGCCTTTCGTGCCGTCTCCAGAATCAAACAGCCATAGATCCCTTTCAGTAAGTATTGTTTTGGATTAAAATCTAGTGTAGACTTTAAATTCAATCTAATTAGCTATTAAGTAGTAACTAGCAGCCTTTTAATTAAAATCATAATATTCAAAAAGCAGCTGAAAGCCACTCGAAATGACAATTTCCACGCCAAAAAAGTCATTCCGATACTGTTTCGGGCTCCAAGGATCTGAAAAAGACTGAATCCCTGGACATCCACTTTGGAATGAAGAGCCCTGTCGGGCCCTTGCACTTGAGTCTTTCGTGCCTTCTCCAGAATCAAACAGCCATAGATCCCTTTTACTAAGTTTTGTTTTGGATTAATTTAAATCTAGTGTAGAGTTTAAGGTTTAAGGTTTTAAATTCAATCTAATTGGCTATTAAGTAGTAACAAGCAGCCTTTTAATTAAAATCATAATATTCAAATAGCAGCTGAAAGCCACTCGAAATGACAATTTCCAAGCAACAAAAGTCATTCCGAGACTGTTTCGGGCTCCAAGGATCTGAAAAAAAGACCGAATCCCTGGAACATCCATTCTGGAATGAAGAGCCCTTTCGGGCCCTTGCACCCTTTGAACCTTTCGGGCCCTCTCCAGAATCAAACAGCCAAGGAATGAAGACAAATTATCAACGTCATTTGATTTTCCAAATTGAAGAACAACATCTGTTTCGGACCGGGTGCCTAAACCCTAAATGAACCCTAAACTCATTGACTAGAACAATTAATTTTGAATAGCAGGAGATGTATTGCAGTGTGGTTTTGAATAATAAAAAAGACTCAGAGACAGCCCTCACCGTAGCTATAGCAAGGCCAGACATTATATATATATATATATATACATACCCATAAATATTAATCAGATATTTATGTAACTATAAGGGTTTTGCAACATGTGCCCTTCAACTAAGAAGAGAGAGTCTCCAAATGGTGGCAGTACAGCGGTGCATCGTCATCTGGGCAGTGGCACGGGGCATCATCGTCATCAGCATGAGTTTGCATGGGATGAGCATGCCGGCAGCGGCGCATCGTCATCCAGCCCCACCACTCGACTGACGCGGTGTATTGTCCGCAGTGGAGAAAAATGAGCGATCTTGATGGGCCTTTCATTCGAGGAAGATGCATCATGTCCTACGATGTTCTGATGGTCACAGCCATTGTGCCTCAGGTGGAGATCTCACGACAGTGCTCGGGGCCCAAGTCTAAGTGTGCCCACTTTTGTTGGTGCATGTTGCCAAACAGTCCTGCGGTCGACGCATCTGGCTGACCGACGGCACTTTGCGGCTCTCACCTCGCACTCCCAGGCTCGCAACCTGGCCGATAATGCCGGACCCTCAGTCATTCCCCATTGGAGCATGAATAACATGGGCCAGAATAAACATGGGCCCGAAACGGCCCATCTTCAAGCAGCTTGTCCGAGCAGCAATGTGGCCCGAAAGGGCCAAACATGAATAACATGGCTACAAATAATACCTCCCGGAGTCAGGGCTCAACCCTTAGACCCGTTTGCCCAACGAGGTGCAAGACAGAGGCAATGACTCCGGCTCCGCATGCAGGGGGCCTGGACTTCACACGGCTGCGGGGTTTGGGAATTTGCTTGTCTGATGAATCATGACATCGACGGCTTGAAATCCATGCAGAATGGCTCAGCCAAGGGTGGCAGCAATCATGAACATCATCGGCCTAAGCCTAACCATCGTCCCTTCTTTTTCTTGACTTTTGGGTTCTCAGTTCACAATACTACCATAATGGATTTTGACATGCTCTGTGACCCAAGCATGACTGGGTCGGCGGGGACCGGGAGTGCGGCAGGCTCGGAGCCCATCACGCCGAATGCAAAGAAGGTGCGGCGAGAGCAGGGGCCAGACTCAAAAGAGCTGGAGACTCCTGCCCCCAAGCCATGCAGTGCACTATCTCGCATCTGGAAAAAGCACCAGAAGCAGTTGCTGAAGGAGGCGCCGCTGGGAAGCAGCACATGGCTGACATGGGAAGGTGAGGGCTTCTCCTGCCTGGCTTGCAAAGGCGTCGTTTCCGGTCCTTGGGCAAGTGGCTCCGCGGTCCGTGGCGAGGAAGCCCTAGGCCGTGTTCTTTGGTACATCCGAAGACATGCGCAGAGCAAGACACATTGCCAGGCTGTGAAGAAGGTGTTGGGGGTGAACAGCTATGATGAGGAGTTGGGGGCACCATCTGTGCATCAATTCAGTACCCTGTTCAAAAGGTTGAAGGATGGAGACTCCTTGCGTAACTGCAATGAGTTCAAGCAGTCCAGCGACAAGACGAATCTCATGGCCTGGTGTCTTGCGGAAGCCCTGGCTGAGGCCGACAGGGTTTTTTTTCGCAAAGCCACAACAATGAGCTTAGCCAGGGACGCACGAAGGCAGCGTCTGGTCATCCGCTGGGGCGCATCAACATCAGGCTTGATGGCTGCCAGTGGGCTCCTGGGTGTGGCACGGGACTTTGGTGATCGTAGCATTGACATCGTCCATGCCACGGAAAAAATTCTTCGGGACGCCTGCACTCAATTCCTCGCGCCTCCAAGATATTATGAGGGACCGCCGCCCCAGTTGCAGGAGGATCTCTACCAGCATCTGCAAGCCATCGTGGAGGTGCTTGTCACTGATGCTGCATCGAATGAACTCGTCGCAGGCGAGATGGGTCGTGGTCGACGCCCGCGTCCAGACTGTCACCAGGATGAGGACATCCCAGTGCTGCTTCCACGTGTTCTGATGCTGGCTCGTGACGCAGCCCACAGCTTTCGACGAGTCCTGACTCGCCCCTATCTTGCAGATGAAGTTCTGACTTCTGTCATGGAGTCCTACATTCTGAGCAAGCACAGTCCATGCCAGATCATTTGGCATTCCACACATTTCTCTGCTTTGCTGGATTCTTGGGTTTTCACTGGATTGTTTTCTTTTTAGTTCAGCTTCCAAAAAATTGGGCAATCAACACCAGAAGAACTTCCAGTCTTTGCTAGCAAACCCAAGGATTGCGAGACCAAGAAGCAGGAAACATCCCCTTTTCGAGCATCCTCCTTGCGCGCAGCGAAACATCGCTTCGAGACGTTCTCCACTCCTTTAGGAAGGCATGGTACTTGAAAATCTGTTACTACTCAAAGCTGTCGACCGCTTGGTTTGGGATCGAAGCTAGGGTCATGCTGTGAGAAAAGTGCGGTGGTAGTAGTAGTAGTAGTAGTCGTCCTAGTAGTAGTAGTAGTAGTAGTAGTAGTAGTAATAGTAGTAGTAGTAGTAGTAGTAGTCTTTGTCATGTGAGCATGTCTGAATGATGACCCATGCGGGAGCAGGTCACCCTGTTTTCATGGGTGGCCTGGGATGTCAGAAGACCGACCCCCCGCAGCATGCATCGGCACAACGAGTTGCAATCGGGCAACCCGCAGCCGAGACCCCCAGGGGG